GAATAAAGTCATGGGCTGATCTGAGTACACTGGGCTCAGTTCAGGAGCAAACTCCTGCACATAGGTTCTTGATTCTGCAGTACTTAGACTATTTTTCACCATAAGTACCTATGGCCATTACTTTATTCATTTGAGTAGTAACTAAGCACAGGTTTTGTAAAACACTACATCCTTTGTTTGGTCTTACTGTAGTATTTACACGTTATTAAAAAAAGAAAAAGGGAAACAGAAAAAGATTTAAAACTGAAATTACCTGATACATATCTCCATAATTTTCAATCTCTCCACTTGCAGTATGACATTTGCCATCATTGAAATCCCAGCCAGAGTATGGCACAGCTGGAAAATCTCTGTTTCCAGCATTGAAATGGCTTCCACAGGTAGAATGTGTGCCTGAGCCACCCGTGGCCCCACACATGTGGTTGACAACAGCATCCACATAAATACGAACCTGGAAAAGCAGTAAGTGCATTTCAGTATGCTTTGCAGTGATTGTGAAGTGATGGCCAGAACTTTACCACATCACTATTAATTTGATTTTTTTTCCTTCTCTTCAGTTTCTTCTGAGTTTATTCCTTCTTTGAGGTCACAGCAGTACCTTCCCTCAGCTGGTACAGCACTTCTTGCCATACCAGACAGTGATTTTCAAGGTACTTACTCCAACATTGTTGCATCTGGTCACCATGTCTCTGAACTCATTTTCGTTTCCTGATCGAGTGCAGAGCTTGTAGCTAATGGGCTGGTATCTTTCCCACCAAGGTCTGTTTGGGTTAGTAATGACAATATTTTCATTTGGAGGTGAAACCTGCAGATAAAATTATGTATTTTGATAAGAAATCAATTGGGTTTATTTCAACATTGTAAGGACAAAATCTGCCTCAGCATGTCTGTCCTTAGAGACAGGCTAGAGCCCAAACCAGCTGCTCTCCCACAATATAAGCTCAGGTCTGTGAGATGTCTGCCTTGTAGACTGGCAATAATACGTTTTCTTTTGTTCCTGTGGGTTGCCCATGTCCAACAAGGACACGTGCATGGGAGGGCTGAAGACACAGAAATTATTTTTACCTAGAATAGTGACAGTCTCAGGAAAGCCAAATCTCAATGCTTGTGCACTTCCCTCAAAACAAGGTAAAAAAGAACTTTACCTTCTACTTAGCTTTCAGGGAGTCTTTCAGAGGAAAACAGGCCCCTTTGATCTGCTAGATGTACATCACTCATTGGCTGTGCAGACCTGTTAGGGTTGCTTCTAACAGCAGTTACTACTTCCATCCCTCCTTCTCCTACAGCAAAGTTACTTGGAGGTGGCTGTCTCCAACTCAGGCATTTTGATTTATTAATCAAATGCTACAGTGCCATTTTCCTACCTACTCACAGGAAACAACTTACCTGAACACCTCCAAATCCATTAGGAGCTAAATAGCGTTCACATTCCAGAGCAATATCCACCCAGCGCCATTCAAAGAGATGCACAATAGATGTCCTCCCAGGGAGAGTGTTAGGGCTGTACTGCCCCCAGCAAAGCCCTACAGCTGCAAGTAGGAGGAGGACTCGCATGGTGCCTTCAGTATAAGGCTGTGGTCTCTCCACTGGCTATTTATGTTCCTGCAAGATAACAAAGTTCATATTGCAGCTGTCAAAATTCACATGGATCAATGCTATCAGTTATTATTTGCCTAGCTAGCTCAATATAATTCTTTGGGTTTGTTTTCTTCTCCTGAAATACCCAACAGCTGAAGATAAAATACCTTTTCACAATGATTATACACTATCATAAACCAAGCAGTCTGTGAGTATTTATGTTCCTGCAAGATAACAAAGTTCATATTGCAGCTGTCAAAATTCACATGGATCAATGCTATCAGTTATTATTTGCCTAGCTAGCTCAATATAATTCTTTGGGTTTGTTTTCTTCTCCTGAAATACCCAACAGCTGAAGATAAAATACCTTTTCACAATGATTATACACTATCATAAACCAAGCAGTCTGTGAGCAGCACACCCAAGAATTGCACTTCCATTCATACAAACAAAGATACTTTATCAAAAGAATTCCAAAACATAACACACAGACCCTCAAAGGACTCTCTGGAAAATAAAAGGAATGGGAGGTGACTGAAAGACAACTGGAAATCTAACAGTACTAGAATGAATGAGTTTGACAGCATTCAGAAGCATTTAGCTCTCAGGATTAGACAGAGTTCAAACCAGAGTACCTGATTATCCAATGTTAGTCAATAACAGATACATTACACAACAGGTTGTGGGTCTTCACCAGGTAAATCACTCTGGTAACTAGAAACAGATGCCTTATCACACCTGAAGTTTTTCTAGCATCATTGCCCAGTCCCTGCTAGGAACTATTACTGGTTTTCCTCATATGGTTCTGCAGAGCAGCTGTTGTTCCAAGTGATTGAAAGTCATCAGAGCTGCATTTTCCTCTCCAGCAGAAACTTTGCATAAAATTTCTTTTCAATGACCCATGATTCATCTCAGTTAAAGGAACAAAACTCAATATCAGATGTAAAGTGATACTACAGATGAGTTTTAGCTGCTTGACATAAAACTGAATTTGAAAGCCAGAGCTGTTACCTAACTCCCTTCTGGTTCTTCCCACAATTTCCTCCTTCAAAAAAAAAAAACCAACCTTCTGGCTTTTGCTCATGAGATGATTTCAGGTCTTTGTTTGGAACTGACTTGTAAGATCAAGGTCTCAGCAATAATTCTTCATGAATAAGCCTGTCATACCAACAATAAAACAACAACGAGAGAATACAAAGATCTGGAATTTGATGAATATCTGTGAGGGGAAAAAATAAGTTAAAAAAATTGTCACATCTACTCCAAGAGAAGTGCACTCAGTGCACTTTGTACCTGAACTGCCTCTAGAGTGTTCTTTCTGAAGGTATCCATGCCAATATGTCACATGCATTCTTCTCTTTCCCAGAATTGTCTTCAAGGACAAAATGCAGAAGCAGGTCCCATTTGTCCACCTGTTCATTTTCATATCGCAGACCTTATTAAAAGTCTCTTTTTCCACTACTACAATGAAATAGTAAATTACTGCAAATGACCTTGCCTACTCACTAACAGCAAGGAACCAGTGAGTGAGTACACCTTGTGATTACCAATTCAGTGTGAATACCTCCCCCTGCTCCATTCCTCGGTATTACTGAGAGCAACCAAATGTGCCTGAGGTTAATTTTTACATCAGCATTACCTGTGATGTACCATTGATGTGTCAGCATGTCACAGGTTCCAGTAGCATGTGTTTTCCACTAAAATACACTGCTGTCATCCAAGAAGAGTATGGACCCACCCTGGACAGCCTGATGCCATGGATGGCCAACCCACTGGCAAAGGGGACTGGGAGCTCTTACACAACAGGCTATTCAGCAGCTCAAACTGAACAGGCTGCAGTATTTTAGCTTGCTGAAGAAATGCATAAGGGCAGGAGGAAAGGTGGCCAATCCAGCACTGACTAGTCACAAGTCTTTCTGAAATATAACCCCAAGTAAAAAGTATTTAATGCTGTGTTTCAAATATAGCATCTTTTAGTATGGTAAACATCATGCGCCTTACAAATCACGTCTTGATTTTCAGGGGAGTTGAAATTTTGGGCAGATGATGCATTGGAGGGATTTGGCTTTGTTTTAAACACGCCATGTTTTAATCCATTTGATCCCTCAGTATCACTAGAAACCTGGTTGTGAAGAAAAGACAGATGTGGTTTCTAGGTATTGAAATGAGAACCTTGTATTTACAAGCTATTACACTGCAAACTTAAAAAAGCAAGTCTGGTCTTGTGTGTCCCCATGTGGGCATAGTACAGCTCTGTCAATCCACACTATGAGTTTTCCCAACACACTGATGCAATGTCAATGCACACACAAGACCTACCAGCACATGATTGACCAACAAACCCTGTCACAGGAGGAAGGCTCAGAGAAGACAGGGAAGAGTGGCTTGCCAAAGAAACTCTGGGTATAATACAGGCTATGATTGCCTGGGGGTGTGGCAAGGAATGCTGACTTAATCTCAGCACAAAGGGCTGGTGGGTGGCCTTTATTTTTGATAAACAACTATGTCAGTTGAGTGCATCAGCTGATACTGTAATTAGTATCAGCTGATGCAGTTAATTGAAGGAGTGTGAATGTCTCCTTAGTTTAGCCATAGCAGCATTGGGGAGGAGTGTACATGTGGCTCTGCATAACAGAGCTTAATGAAATTTAACAACTAACGTAAGTTTTTTGAAGGCTGCAATGGGTTTTTGCTGGTTTCAACCCACATATTCCTTTCCTGTGACTGGGAACACCCACCATCCCCATGGTGAGGCAGCAATAATAGAGATCTAGTCAGCACTGGGGAAATGATGGCAAATCTGTGGGTTTGAATTGTACAGGCACAAGTTGACTGTAAACCAAGTAACCCACTGGCTTGACTGATGCCACAGGGTACAATAACTGATTGGCAGGGACTAGCTTACTCTGACCCAGACCCTATGTTTGGTTTGTCACAAAGAAGAGATGAATTTGATTTGAATGCCATTTATTTTTCACTAGATACAGAGAATATACAGACCAACAGAAGGAACACATTTTCAACTTAGTTGTAACTTGGCATCAACTTGAATTGTGCCATGTTTGAACACAAAGGTGCCTTCTCTTGATTTTTTGACATCCTGTCAATTCCCAGTCCCACTTCCCCATAGATAAAACTACATTTCCACTTTTGCATAGAGAAGCACAATTTTATAGTAAGTAATTTCAATTTTCTCCTTTCATCTTAATTTTAACTGAATTAAGCACACTTACAAATGCAAACAGGCATATAGCACCACTCCAAGACCTGCACCAGCACCACCAGCTCCTGTCTCTGTATAACAGCTGCTCAGTGTTTCGTTGTATTAGCTAATACACTTTGCTCTCAGTTCATTCAGTGCTGGAGAGCCAGGACACTCAGTCCAGAGAAGAGGAGAAACAGCACATGCACAACAGATCTGGTTACAATTTAGCATCAACATGAATGGCAATGAATGGGTCTTCATCCTTGTTAGCAATCAGGAAGTTAGCCATGCCATCAGCACCAACATGAACTTCAACTGCTGTACAGGAGTCACCCTCCTTTTGCCCAGAAATGACATCACAGTAAGTGCCAGCAGGCAGACCAGTCTGCAGAGTTACATTCAAGGACCTTTGGAAAAGATTGAAATGCAGTAAGGATTACTTGGATCCTCAAATGCCCTGTAACACATATTGGAGACAGTCTTAGACATTAGGTATTTCTGGAGTTATCCTGTAGCATGCCTCTGGACACTGCAGAATCTATTCAGCCACTACATCCTTCAAACTTCTAACCACCACAACCTGCTTCTAACTATTATACATCTGACACACTCCTGTTCTCTTATCATGTCATTCTTGTGTAAAAGATTGCAATACAGTTTTTAAGAATGTCAGTTTGGAACCATATTCCCAAACTGACAAGTTCCCTAATTTCTATAAGTTCAGCCTTTGCTGGTTGACCATGCTCAATGACATGAATAACTCCAGAACTGGGAAACAGCAAGACCCCAGAACAAGGCCTAGCTGCAGAGAGTGAAGAATGGAGAATGGTAAGTATAAATTGTCAATGACAGAGAGAGAAGACACGTGTTACAAAGATATGTTGGAGCTAGCAACACCTTGAAAGTGTTAACTATTAACTACATTACTAAAAATGAATAAATAGTATTTACAATAATAAAATATAATTCATTTCTCTCTTACTTACCAGTCATCATTATTGAAAATGATGAAGCCTTTATTACCACGGCCAAAAGCTACTTGATTGCTGCCATTGTCCCACCAGTTGGAGAAAGGTTCACCGTCCACCACATTACGGAAGATAACCATGTTCCTGGAAACACAAGAAACTCTTGTCACTGTGGATCCAAGGGCTATAAAGCCATGAGAAACATGAAACAAGAGCAACTGCTTTCACTTAGGCTTTTCTCCACAGCATCCTACTTTATCTGACGCCAGCGATGTTCGCAAACCCAGTCATTGCCACAGGTAGTGTCCTCATTGATTGTAACAGGCTTTGTTGAGCCATCTGAGTTACTTGGTGGTCCAACCCAGTCATTGATGTCCTGTAATTAAAAACAGAACTTTAGAAATTCTCATTGAAAATACCAAGAGCCTTTCCAGAGAGAATACCTAGATGGAGCATCAACTTTTCAGCAGCTCGATCTAACATGGCACAGTGAGATCACTGAACAAACTGAAAGGCACTAACTACTTCCCTGCCTGGTTATGATACTTATTCACCATGAAAGGAATTTCAGCATTAAAGGCTTTACCTTTCCATTTACAAAATATCTTGGCCAACGGAAACTTGACATCACACGGGTGAATCCATATGGATGAGCAAGCATGAAACCAAGGGCCATTTTATAGAGCCTGTGGGTTGGACAAAACAAGCAATGAGATGTGGAAGGAGAAACCTGCCAGAGAATAGATAGACAAACAAGCAAAAGAAAGAAGCATACCCCACACAAGAGCAATCCCTTACCTGGCATCCCAGAAGGTTAGAATAGAAGCTCCACCGGCCCCGTGTCCCCGCTGGTTGTCATGGTTATCCACAAAGACCAGGGCTCTGTCGGAAGGCATGAAGCCCCAGCCTTCTCCCCAGTTCCTAGCCAAAAACACAAACACTTGAAGCTGCCCTCTCAACTGGGGCACCCTGTGCATCCTAGACAAGTTGCAGCCTCTTCATCCTTACTTTAAGTAGGCCATCTTTTCTCCATCCCACTTGCGGATCACTGTCCCCAGTTTTGCACCATATTTGAATTCTGTCACTCGGCCATTTCCAAAGTAGTCACTGCTTTTGATCGGCTCTCCACCCAAGTCAATTACCTGGGACAGGGAAGATGGAGCATTGCTTTCTACTTTAAAAATTTATTATCCAGAACTTAAAAATTCAGGAAGTGAAATCTCTTTTATTAATCCAACAGAATTTTTACAGTAACTTCAATGTATTAAATTTAGTACATTTCATCTCAAGTGAAATTTCCAGGTTACCTAATTCCAGAAGGTCCAAAACAACTGGAGCATTTTGCACATCAATGACTATTTACAGCATATTGGAAGATTAGATATCTGTAAATTATGGTTATTGTATCTTGATGATGATTTCTACAGATTTTAATCTGAATGCTGCCTGAGCACAGCTCAGGCACCGCGTTGCTTCCAGTGTGCAACTAAGTCTATAATGTAGCTGGAAGAACTATGTTTGTAAAGTAAAATTAAAAAACATAAATATTACCTCCTGGTAAATGAAAGGCTTAGTTCCTTCAGGAAACCATGTAGTATTTAGATCATTCAGCTTGTCTAAAATTGCCTTCACATCCCCAGGCCACATGTGCTTGGCAGCATCAATTCGGAATCCTGCGACGCCAATATCGATGAGATGGTTCAGGTACTCAGCAACCTTTGAGCGGACATAGTCCTTCCCCAGGGCCAGATCCAGAAGGCTAACCAAGCGGCAGTCCCGGACCTACACAAAAATTCTGAAATGAAACACTTTTCACCTAATAAACTAAATGTAATGTTCTACATAAATTTTGAATTTTCTTGCCTGCATTTCAATGCCAAATAAAACCTTCACAAGTCATTGATCACTGTGCCTATCTTTGCCTTGGACAGATATTTTGGACAGTCATCTACACAAAAAGAGCATTGAGAAACTTGCATTTATCCAACTTGCACAGCTGTAGGTGCTGAAGGATTATACCAGCCAAGCCATTAAATCTATAATCAGCTTTTTGAATGCATGTATGAGGCAAAAATACAATAAACTGTTTTTACTCAGTTCACTCATTTCTTCTCTGATATAGGAAGCATTTATAGAAATTATATTTCTAAATCTTTTAAAAAAATTTAATTTATTACAGCCTTCTGAAACATTAAACTCCTGTTTCCTGTAAACTCAAAATGATGGGCATCAATTTTCATCAAAAGAATACTTTCAATAGACACTGACTATACTGAAATGATTTTTCTAAGAACTCTTACGATGGGTTTCCATGGCTATGCACATCTTCCCAGAAAGATCAAGGTGCATCAGCCTATCTTGCAAACTGTACTAAAGAACCAGCTATAAAAATTCTCCTTTAGAACTTCAGTCATTTCTCCAAAACCCCTTTTCTCCCAGCTTGGATTCAGGAAAGATCAAATGTGTTTGAAAGGCATAAGACATTATTCAAGAAAGATACGTATTTATTTTTATAAAATAACTTTTCATTCAGTGGAAGTTATAAAGTCATAATCTAATATAGAGGAACAACTAGATTCCCAGAATATATCTGAACAGAAGGTCCATTTTGATTTTGGCCCTACCTTTTTTAAAAAAAGATCCTAATCTCTCGTTTCTAAAATTGTGACCAAAGAAAACTTTCTAATTACAATAAAAGGCAAATAATAACTTACTCTTTTTTTTAACACACAACCTCCACACAGGATAATCACTAAATAGATTTTATGAACTTTATCTTTATAAAGCACCTAAGCACATTCGTCTAAACCTGAAATTGAGGTATATCCCTCCAAGAAGTGGTGTTCCTGATAACAACACTAACCTTAATTATTAATTTGGCTGGTTTTCCACATGAGTTTTTGTTTTGTTTCTAAAAATGCCTAACTATAAACAAGAGCAAAGAAACCTCTGCACAGGAACAGATGTACATGAAAACTATAGTTCTAGGTTTACCTGAAATATATCTTGATAATTCTCAATGTCTCCACTTCTAGATTTACATTTCCCATCATTAAAGTCCCAGCCAGAATACGGCACAGCTGGAAAATCTTCAGTCTTTGCATTGAAATAGCTTCCACAAGTCGCATGGTCGCCAGCACCAGCATTAGCTCCACACATATGGTTGATTACTGCATCCACGTAAATATGTACCTAGAGAATAGTATTCACATCATAATTTGAGAAAGCTACTTCCCACGGCACCACTAATTAATGTTCTCTCTCCCATACCTTCTGCTCTATGCCCCTTTTTCTGCTTGGTTGATTCGCCCAACATTTTATTCAAATTATTTTTCCTTTATTAGCCTATAGCAATGATACAATATGCAGGTCCAACAGACAGGCAGGTAATATTGCACTTCTTTTTTAAAAGGGTAGAGAGGAGGACCCTGGAAACTGTCAGTATCACCCAAGCTATACTATGAAAAAACCCACCATCTTCACTCCAGAGCTACCATGTCTTCCCTTCTAAATTACTGCTTTCTGTATCTTTGCACTGTTAACCCCAGAAGGCTTTCAAAGTACTCACTCCAACATTGTTGCACCTGGTCACCATGTCTCTAAATTCAGTTTCATTTCCAGATCGTGTGCATAGCTTGTAGCTGACAGGCTGGTATCTTTCCCACCATGGTTGCTGGGGGTCAGTAATGATAACATTTTCATTTGGAGGTGAAATCTGTGAATAAAGCAATGTCACTTGGTCACTGATAATGGCTAATTTGTTTGCCCAATATTGTTACAGAAAGACCATAACAATAGAAAATCAGGTCCCTTTAAAGGAAGATGCACACGATACCTAACCAACATAGATTCTCAGTATCTGCTTACACTGTAGTAGGCTGGAAATAAAAGACTTGGGCCTGGACTTTCTGTAGGTAGAAACATTCTAGAAAAATTAGGTCCACGGACATTGTGTCCTAATTATCTGTATGACTGCAAGCCTCAAAGGAAAAAGAAGGGTCTGAAATCAAAGAAATAGGTCAGCAGAGACAGGATCAGGAATCGACTGCGTAACAACTGATATAACATCCTGCTCTTAAAATTGATCCAACTTCCCATTTTTATTATGTAAGAGTTTTTCAGATGAGTTATCTCTTCCTTTTACAGACTCTTTTCAGGATACTTTTTAGGCAACAAGCATTTGCTGCTATCTCCAAATCTCTGGGCATAACCTCACCATTCTAAGAAGAAGGCTGCAGCCTACTTAGCTGTGAGGCTTTCATGACCAGCCCAACAAGTCATCATCTGAAATAAACGTTTTTGCTGAGACCCTGTCACAGAATAGATTAAAAAGATATGCAGGCATATACCACAGTCTGAGAAATCAGTTTAAAAACAATCAGGCCTGTGTGCCTGGAAAAAAGGTTGCAAAGAAAAGATGTATTATTTGAAAATTATGTGAAAGCTATCACTCAGGTCAACTTGCAAACTCCTGGACTACAAGAGACAGGCAGACTTCTCACCAATTTTTCCTCAACAATCTGACAAATAACCTGAAGTAGTTTACTAGGCAGCTGTTCCCCAGTCATGCTACCCCACCCATCTGACTGTACTGGTTCCACAGACATGTCTGTTGTTCTGATGGAACAGACTCACACAGGCACACCTCCACCAGAACCTGTGCTCACTTCATTTCTGCGTGCACACACCAGGTTCCTGCAAAGAAAGGCCTCTTAATGGCCTACTGTGACACTACACTTTATAGAGAGAAACTTGCCAGTTTGGGTAAACACAATTAGCAGCCTTTTACACTCAATTATTTAAACCCTTCAGCACTTTGTTATTCTCTTTGGGAACCTTTTTTTCAGTCCTAGTTCCATTTTATGTTTATCTAGCTCTTAAGAGCTTCCCTTGATTTAAATAGTATCAACCAGATAAACATAGGTTACTCTTCACAGTAGTAAAAAAAAGATTTAGCCAGTGATATGCAATTCTAATTCATCTAAATGTAATAGCACAGAGTGCAAAACATGCACTTTGGAGCAATGAAATAAATTCATGCTTACATGATGATAGCTGAAGAATATATTTGTCAGCATTTACTACTTCCATTACCCATTCCTATTTTTCAGTACCTGTCCTTTAGCAAATTGAACATTTTCTCTGAAAAACAAATTATCATCTGTGTAGCAATTTTACTACCTACTGATAGGAACAGACATACCTGAACACCTCCAAATCCATTAGGAGCTAAATAGCGTTCACATTCCAGAGCAATATCCACCCAGCGCCATTCAAAGAGATGCACAATAGATGTCCTCCCAGGGAGAGTGTTAGGGCTGTACTGCCCCCAGCAAAACCCTACAATTAACAGAAGAAAATAGATACCCATCCTGTGCTCTGGGATCAGTTGCATTCTTCTCACTATCTATTTATGAACCTGCAAAAGGGTAAAGAACACATTAGAAAACACACATTTAGAAGTAAATGTCCACCTCTGGCATCATATTTATTTAAGTTTACTTGACTCTTATTTTGTATGAGAACTGGATTCTATCTATCTAAGCTATATCAACCTCCCATAATAACAGTAACTTTGTTTTCCTGAAGTTAAAATTCAGATGTTGCCTAATGCAGGCTGACTCCAGTGTGCAAAATTGTAATTTTATTAGTATAAAGCCAAAACCAACCCCAAAAGGCAAAGGAGTATTTATATAGACTGAAACAGACTCTTTGTTTCTCATTTTAATGTCTAGTATTTTACATTCCTATTTATCTTTGAGAGGCATCTTTTTTATTTTTTCAAAATGGTGTTACTATGACTTGTACATATTTAGACAGGACCTTGGAGAAGCAGCATATTCCTTATTGTGAGCTGTCAGAAAACCCCAAATATTTTGGAGGTCTGTCATCCATGATACACATGACCATCTTTCATTCAAACAACAGCCCTAACCTTGGAAGATCTCTCAGCTACAGAAATGATTATAGTAACCCAAGACCAGAAATGCTAAATGTCTAACTCTGTACATCTGTATAACTTGTGTGGAGATATTTTTCTCCTAAAGAAAATAGGGAAATGGCATGCAGGTTAGAAGTGCTATGAAGCTCCATAACCAAGAAATCTTCTTAGTGCCCAGGTACAGAGTTCTGCAAGTGAAGGAGGTATGCAGAGGATGAAAACCAGCTGCATCACCTTCTGATCAGCTAGGCTAGGAACTGTATTTCCCAACTCATATTCTATTTGTATGTATTTATGAGCAAACACAGTTGATAAGCCTTATATTAAAATTGCCTCTCCTTTTTCTCACCCAGAGAGATACGACGTGTAACAAACCAAAAGTTAAGCAACTATCAAGGTTTACATTATTCTGTGTAGGATTTTATTTTGCACTCTTCATATATAGAAGTTGGTTTAGAGAGTCTGAGATACAAAGAAGTCCTACAAGGAGAACTTTTGCAACCAAACGGCTGAACTACTACTTACCTGAAATAACAAAATAGAAAATCTTGTTACTTTTCTCTAAGTATCTATTCTTTCTAAAAAGTTACCTTTACACAGAAACAACACAGGACAAAGAGGGAAAAGGTAGATTCCAAGCTGCCATAGGGGACACTAAACTCTTCTGTGAAGGTTTAAACATGAACACAAGCAACTTCAGGTTTGCTACATGAAGAAAACCAGTGCCCTTCCTGATTTAATACACATTTAGCAATGCACTGCTGAAAACTCCAACCTACTGTGATACAGATAGCCAGACAAAAGTTTCTATAAAATCTTACATGACTTCTACAAAACAATCCTCATTTTTGTTTCAAGGAAAGGATAATCCATACCTCTCAGGTAGTGGAGCTGCACTCTTTGGAGCAAATTCAAGCACAAAATATACCAGCTTAAAAAGTGTACAGCCTGCCTTCCAGAGCCTGTTGCTATCAGTTGTCACTATTCTCTACAAGTAGCCAGTTATTTAGAATTAATAACTGGGTATATTTTTTGCTTGTGAACACAATAATTTTAAGAAAATTATTTACTTGTAGATCTTCAGTAGAATATACAGATAAATTTCAGCCATAAGTAGTTGTTCTGTGTGCTTCCATTTTCATGAAAGAATGCTTCTTTGCCCTGATAAGAAGAACATGAGACAGAAAATGAGCTAAGAAAGCTAGATCTTCTCTGATGAGAGAAACCATTTATTAGATTGGCAAGTCTTACTTACAGCAGTAAGTACACAAAGCAGTAAATAACACAAAGCAGTAAGAATAATATTCTTTGGGTCAACCAGCTCTAAGTGCTTGAAAAGAAGACTCAATGTAGTTCTTATTTTTTTGTAATGGTTTTACGGCTGCTCTGTCCTATGTACAAGCAATATAAAAGAGAATGAGGATGTTGAAATCCCTGCTACACTCTGACAGCTCTAGCTCCAAAATACTTTCTGAACTGATTCCAGATGAATCTGGGAAAAGAAAAAAAAAAAAAAAGCAAGAGGCCTGTATTCCCCTATGGAGGAGAGCACAACTGATCAGAGAACACGGCAGAGAACTGTCTCTGAGGAGCGCTAATGCTATCTCGGACAACAGGAGCACTCGGGTGACCTTGTCTTCTGCTGGGTCACAGCCCGTGCTGTGGAACTGAAACTCGCTGCTGTCTCCAACACGCTAACCACAGCATTTAAATTTGCCAGAGATCTGACACAGGCCTGGCTAGAGAGGCGGATGCTAAAGGCTGTCACAGGAAAGCAAAACAGTGTCCCTGTCAACTTCTAGTGGCTCCCCACAAAACTCCCTTCATTTTTCATAGGGGCGAAGCAACTTTGCTTCGGCCGCTGCAGCAGAGCCGCGGCAGGGGCAGCGCTCTGGGCCCGGGCACCGAAACCAAGCGGCAGAGACTC